GGGGTTTACCTGCCAGATCCAGATCCTGGCTCCCATAGTCTCAGCCACCCCTTTCAAATGTGACCATCTTCCTGCAGAGGCCACCACAGTCCCTTTCTGGTCACGGGTTGCATGAACCCTCTGAATGGGACTCTCAGCCCCAGGTGCAGTTCCTTCATTCACTTACCTCTCGTCAGCTTCAGGCGAATGTTCTTCTTCACATCATTGAACCAGCCAGGCACTTCTATGCGGCAGCAATACACACCGTCGTCGCCTTCGTCGGTGTTGGAGATCGTCAAGGAAACATCACCTTCCTGTAAATTCCCTTGAAGTCTGTACCTCCTCGACTTTTTTGCCGTCACGTGCGTCCCATCTGTGTGGAGAAGCTCCTCATTGCACTTGGACTTGGGACACTGGCCTTTGCCCCAGCACATGCTGTTCTTGCTTGCGGACCAGGATGGGTATAGGCAGGGCAGTAAAACCGACTCACCCACAAATGCTGTCACAACCACCTCCGATGAGACTTGTGCTAGAAGGAAAGTTGGGAAAACAGGCTGAATAGTAATAAAATCTTGCAACTGCCATGCAGTGAGTATTCCAAGAGGTGTCGACAGGAAGATGAAGTGAGTCATGTGCCTGAAGCATAAACTCTGCGGTGCCCTGAAGTCTAGCTCAATCTCCGTCTCAACAGTAACCGATCTTTTTGTTGGCTTTGACATTCAGATCTTGGTAGCATTCAATAAACTGTTTTTTAATAGTTTAGGATATGAGGAAATGAAGACTCAGGGGCACTGCTGAGGTGGATCTAGGGAATGGTCTAACATGATGGAGTTAGTTGTAGTGAAACTGGAGTGTGGATTGGTGTAGCCACATGTTGGAGGCAATTGAAGAGTTTTTAATTTACATTCAAAATGCAGGTCTCCTAAGTTTGCCCTAGACATTTTGCTTCTTGATCATCCTTACAAAAGTGCCTAGACCAGTAGAGTTTTGCCAATGTTTACTGCGGCTTTCATTCACCCAACTAGCTAACGTTGCCACCACCGAGTCTATGACAGCTCCTAGTCGCTTTACGGGGGACGGAGTAGAACCGCTCTCTGAGTTTCCAAGGCTGAAATCTTTCATTAGAAGTAGGGTAATGATCCATTGACATGTCTTTGCCACTATGCTATGAGCTGCAAAAGGAAATATATTGTGTTGTATTTTTATACAGAAATTTTCTATCTTAATGCTTATTTGTTCTATTTTTTAAATACTTAAGTTTTATTGATATCTAATTCACATACCATACAATTCAATGGTATAAACATATTTAAAAGAGTGATTCAATCATAAATACAATCCATTTTAGAATATTTTCTTCATTCCTGTGCTAATTATTATTACCTACCTATGTTCCCTTAAACTCCCCTGCCAGAACGCTAAGAAACTATTCATGGTCACTCTCTCTAGAGATTTACCTATTCTGGGAACCATATAAAGAAACACATACAAACTCCTCAACAACAACAATAAGGAAATAAACTACAGACAAACCTCAATCCAAAAGAAAGTGGAAAATAATAAGATCTAGAATGAATTAAAAATAAGTCAAAAGGGAGAACAAACAATAAGGTATTACATTTAACCTACCTACTTCTACATTAATCCACTTTCCAATTCATTCTGATAGCAAAGCTGTTCACATCCCCCGTCAATGATCAGAGGAGATTCTCTAGAGGCTTAGTCCACAAGGGGACCTGCAAATGGATTCAGGGATTCTGTTCCTTATGGGAGTAGAAATGTTCATCTTTCCCTTGCAGAGTAGCTGGTGGGTTGGAACCATTGACTTTGCTGTTAGTAGCCCAAAGCATAACTCACTATACCCCCAGAGCTCCTTTTTTCATACATAGGTGACTTTTTTCTTCAACTGACATTGAGTCTATTTTGACTCACGACAACCCTATGTGTGTCAGAGTAGAACTGTAGCCCGTAGGATTTCAATAGCTGACTTTTCAGAAGTAGATCACTAGGGCTTTCTTCCAAGGCCTATGTGGGTAGTAGAGTGGTGAGCAGTGAACAAATTAAGCATTTGTATCCCCCAGGAACTCTAATATCTGTGAATGGGACAATGGGACAGTCCATCTTTGGGAAGGCTAAACCATGGCCCCCTCATGGCCTAGAGTTCTATGTCCATGGGGGATGCAATTAGATACAATCCTATGGATTCACGTGAAAGTCATCAAGTCATTAAGATCTGAAAAGGGCATTGTCTCCTTATAGGACAAGATAAAAATCTCTAAAAAAACATCAATGCTCAAGAGTCAAACTACAGTGGTTTTTCTTCCCAAACTACAGTGTTTTATATAAGCTTGCTCCCTTAAAAATGATACCAAGGACAGGGATGGTTTTTATTCAGCAGCAACGGGACACTGTGCTCCAAGCAGGAACGAGGCATTATAATACAAACCACTGCTGTCCTTCAAGAGCCTACAGAGAATTCAGGGAGATGGGGCAGCTAGGGGAGCAAGGGACCACTAGGTTACAAGTTCTCTGATGGGAAATTGCAGGGGATCTGGGAGCTCTGGAGCTGAGCAGTGGGCTGTGGTTGGGCAGGAAAAGCCTGACTTCAGTGGAGACCGGAGGATGTGTGTTATCAGAGAGGAAAGAAACACAGAGTATCTTAGAGGAGTAGACGGAAGAAGTGACATTTAATTTCACTGGATTGCCGGTGTTTCATCGTGCAGGAAATTTGAAACATTTATAAGTAAATATTGAGGACTTCTAAAACAACAAGGGACATTAACTGTTGTCTGGTCCTAGACTGCTAAAATTGATCTCATCCCCATGCAGCAGAGCAAAACAAAAACTAATCTAGACATTTCCTAAAGTTAGAGATTAGTGACCACGAGGCAGCCGCTGCTCAGCCCATTACACTGGTCTCTCTCCTATAGGGAAGTCAACGAGTGTAGGAGGTCAAAACCAAGGATGTACATCTGCACCCCAAAACCTGATGACACAGTGCAGCAAAGAAATCTCAAAATCTCACCTGGAAGCTGTACTCACCACAAGACAGAACAACCAACCAACCAACAAAGAGAGCAGGAAGAATTATAATAATGATATCCTAAAAAACAAATTCCCTGTAGTCTCACTACAAGGGAAATTTCTTTCCCCTTAATTTAACCTTTATTTTACTTATCCCTACTTAAATTGTCCTTTTTGATACGAGCACAAATTCCTGTGACCCTAAAAGCAGTTTCTAGATAACCCCTGTGTAAAAAGGCAAAAGAGAAGGTGGCACACGAACTAAAGCATCTTCTCCACAACAGTGACCTACTTAAAACCAACCCATTTTAGACTAGTCCATCAACAATTACGAGGAAGAAAGAATGGGCAGATAAGGGAGCAGGAAATTTGAGCTCGGGAAAAGAAACAAACAGGATACAATTAAAGAGAATGTTATCATCTTGTGATAAATTTGATTAATGTCATAAATTGTGCGGAAATTATCAAATATGAACTTAACTTGCAATGCAGGCACCAAAACTCAGATATATATATACACATACGTGCGAGTATACACACACAAACATATAGATAGAGATGGCAAAGGAGAGACTTTCCAAAGCAGGAAAGAGATGAAGGATCAAAAACAAACAAAACCCTTACTGTCATTGAATGGATTCTGACTCATAGCAATTCTGTAAGACAAGGGGGAACTTCCCCGTGTGGATGTGACTCTTCATGAGAGTAGAAAACCTCGTCTGTCTCCTGTGGGGCTCCCGGTGATTTGTCACTGCTCACCTGGTGGTTAGCAGCCTACCAGGACTCCTTGAGAGGAAGGATGGAGAAGGGCCAAGAGGCAGAGCGGTCAGCATCCAGTAGGCATCAACAACAGCCAACCCACTTCTGGCAAGTTAATTCTGATTCATAGCAAACTCATAGGACAGAGAAGACCTGCTCCATAGGCTTTCCAAGGCTGTAAATCTTCACAGACACACACTAACTCATCTTTCTCCTGTGGAGCAACTGGTGGGTTAAAACTACTGACCTATCGGTTATCCTGCTAATGCTTAACCCACAAGGCCACCAGGGCTCCTTCACTCATTCACTGGCATCTAGTTCATGCTGACTCATAGCAAACCTATCAGACAGGGTAGAACTTCCTTCGTAAGTTTTTGAGGCTGTAACTGTAACTATTTATGGAATTAGAACTTATTTTCTCCCAAGGAGCAGCTGGTGGTTTTGAACTGCTGACCTTATGAATTGCAGCCCAACGCATAGCTACCAGGGCTCCTTACTAAACCCAAATCACTGCATGGAAATCTGTCACAGAAGAGCAAGCCCTCCATAGAAGGCTCCAGACACTTACTCAGATACAGCTGCCCCAACTCAATCAACAGCCAGAGAAGGAGAGACCCTTTGGACATTTTGACGGTTGGCAGGACCCAGGAGTTTGCTTGTCTGTCCCAAGCCTATTTCTTATACTGCGTTAATGCTGACAGGGCGGGACCTTTTAGTTTCATTTCTCTTTTAGTCTCATAATCTTCCCTTTCCTCCCTTCTGAATGCCCTCCCTCATTTTGGAATGTAAGATAAATGTGCTGAGCACTTTTCTCATGGTCACTTGCTGTGTGTGTGTGTGTGTGTGTGTGTGTGTGTGTGCGTGTGTAAAATAGTGTGGGCAGACATGTACCTCTCCACTCTTGCACAGAGGTAGGTTGTATGTGCATGAGCATCCACATATGTGAGCGTGTGGATGCGCACATGAAAGGTGAAAGAGAACACTACGTAGCTTGAAAAAAATACAAGTAACTGTCCACACTGTCTCCATGTGGATGCCTCATGGGAACCAAATGAAAGACCAGAATTTGGCTCCACTCCATTCTGGGTTTTCCCTCCATGTGACCTTGGTCTCTGATAATAGAGAAAGAAAAGCAGGAGTGTAATCGGCAGTCACATAAGCCAAAAACTCCATTAGCGTTTATCAGGCATGGGAAGAAAGGCTTTATAGAGGAAGCACACTGTGGTTTGCAATAAAAGTGCAAGGACAGACTCAGGCACCAAACAGACCCAAGGTCTAGTCCCAAAGCCACCAATAAGTGAAGGTATTTGCTGGAGAAGAGCCCAACCGATTGTGGATGAGCCTTATTGCAGGCTAGATGATGTGCATGGGCAGCCCCTCTGAGCTCCAGAGTTTCAATGATATTCTCAGCACCATAGACCAAGTCACAGGATGAATCAGATCAATGATCACCAGCCAGATGGGTTTCTTAAACAAGATCTTATCAACATCTTTATATTTGAATGTTAAGTTGTATGACAGGCACTGAGTGTATTATCTAAGCCTCATAACCCTAAGAAATAGATAATATAATTTTTCTCATGGAACAGATGTGAAAAATTAAATGTAGGTTGATTAAGTAAATTACTCAGGACCCAAAGTTAAAGCATTGTAGAAACAGGGCTTAAATATAGGACAACATGATTCCAAGACCCTGGATGATAATCATTACACTCTCTTTGACCTGTGACCCATAGGTTAATTCAGCCATTCAACCAAGCCTTACTGTGGCTAGCCCTGCTCTAGCCCCAGAAGAGGAATTTGAGGATACAAGAATGCTCTAAGTTTAAATTTTATTTAAAAATCCTATTTGATTTAAATCATCTAAGGAAGACTCAAGCATTCACCATTGCTCACAACAAAGCTCTCTATGAAAATATAAATACTAGTGAGATTGAGGACTGGGGTGGGGGTGGGGGTCTGAAAAGCATGGAATGGGAGTGAAACCCAGAAAAGAAAGTAAAAGGATTCTCACACTGTCTTTTCACTGAATGTCCACTGAACTGTGAGCTCTTTCTCCAGCCCCACTCCCAGGAATCTAAGGGATGTAATCCCTGAATAAAATGCATAGCCCCAATAAAACACATATAGATGCATACATATTGATATTTGCATGTCACTCAGCAATGTCACCCATCACTGGTTAGTGAAGTGCCACTAGTGATGATCCTCACACTCACACTCAGAGCTTGTCATTTGTTTTTAATGTGTCAAAGTTATATATCAATAGACAACCAAAACAACTAAAAGTCACCAAACATCTGAAAAGAGTCCACAACATGAAAAAGAAAAAGAACGGAAAAGAGCCAGCCAACAAAACAAAAACAAAACACGGAGACTACGGAGAGAGCAGAAGTAAACTTAAAATGCTAACATTCTCCTAGAAAGGAAAGATTTCACATTCATTGGAAAGAAGACAGAGGCTATCAAAACAGGAAAAAAATCACAGAACAGAAAGGAGCTCTTGGAAATTTAAAATTATAATATCCTCCACAGAATGTTAAGATTTGTTTTAATAGAGTTAATTTTCTATAAAGCATAACAAAAATTCCAAAAAATGGAAAATAGGGAGGTAGGGAGTGGAGGGGCACAGAAACAGACCAAAACTTACAAATTCCCATTTATAAATTCCAGATGATTAGCAGTGTTTGAGAATATTCATATAGAAATGGGAGGGAAGTAATTATGAAATAAGTAAGAAAGCAATTTCTCATTACTAAAAGACACATGTCTCTGATTGGGAAAGCCAACCAAATATTCACTCCACATGAGTAATAAAACCCTCTACAAAAAGGTATATTATGAAATACCACAACATCAGACTAAATAAAAGATATTAGGATTCCAGAGGAAAAGTAAATTAAACTAAAACAAAAATCCATATTGAAAAGATTTGAATCAGAATGGTATTGGTCTTAAATGGCAAACTCAGAAAACAATGCAGAAATACTTTCAAAATTCTAAGGAAAATTTTATTTTAAACCTATAATTCTACTCCCTGAAAAGCTGTTAATTAAATATTTTAAAGTACAGTGAACACATTTTCAGACATAGATGGGTTTTTAATTTAGTACCATAGATATTTTACTTTTTAATAAATCATTTTATTGGGAGCTCTTACGACAATCCATACATCAATTGTATCAAGCACTTTTGTACACATATTGCCATCATCATTTTCAAAGCATTTTTGTTTAACTTCAGCCCTGGTATCAGCTCTTCTTTTTTTCCCTCCTTCCCTGACATAAATATTTTCTTAACAAATTGTGGGAAGGACTATGTAGCCAAAAAGGAGCCTTGAACCGAATTAGAAAGGCATGCCATGGTTTGGTGCCACAGAACTGAGTCCAACTCATAATAACTCTGTGTACAAGAAAAATAGAACACTACCATCTCCTCTGCCGTTCTCACCGATCCTTGAGCCCATTGTCGCAGCCACTGTGTCAATCCATCTCGCACAGGCTTTGCATGGATTCTTCCAATGAAACATGATGTCCTTTTTTGGGAAAATGGTCGCTCCTGATAACATGCCCAAAGCCTATGAGATGAAGTCTTGCTATTCTCATTCCTAGAGAGCATTTTGGCTGTACTTCTTCTGACAAGAGCCATGGTGGTACTCAGGCCCATGAGGCCTGTGATCCGCATGATGGGCAGTCCAAATCCACCAGCAACTCGAAGGGAGATGGGCTTTCTACTTCTGTAAACAATTACAGTCTCAGAAACCTACAAGAGTGTCTCTACGAGTCAGCATTGACTCACTGGCAGTGAGGTTGGTTTTGGTCTTCTAAGACAGATTTGTTTGTTCTTTGGGCAGTCCATAGTACTTCCAATATTTTTCATCAAAATAAAAATTCAAAAGCCTCAATTTTTCTCTACCCTTAAATTCATTGTCCAGCTCTCCTGTGCACATGAAGTAATTGGTAATACCATGGTTTGAACCCAAGGGTGTTAGTGGAACAAAAACGAGCTATTATGGTTCATACATTTTATTTTTACAAACTCCTCACCCCTTCCTTTGTGGAACTGATTGAATGTCCATTAACTCCAGCCTCACATGGGTAGGATGGGCACATGATCTTCGCCTTACCAATTATTGTTGACCCATCACTTTATGGAGTTACAAAAGGGAAAGTAGTATATGGATTTACATGGGGAAATTAGTTTAATCAGTCACTGTAGAAATCAAAATGCTGGTAAAGAAAGACAGCTTGAAGAGTTACTGCTTTGAGCCATTCACCCAAAGCTCAATAAGCAGTTCCTGTTTACATGTGGTACAGCCTATTCTGGCACACTTCCTTCACACGCTTCAACTTAACAGGAAAAGGAAATCGGTCACTAAGATGCCACTATACGTCAAGAGCTATGCTAGGCGCTAGTCTGGGTAGACTAGAGAAACAAATTCATAAACACGCATATGTATATAAGGGAGGGAGTTATATACAAGAGCAATTTTACATTAAGAAAACATCCCAACCCAGTCCAATCCAAGGCCATAAGTCTGATATTAGCCCATATATCCAGTATCAATCCATAAAGTCCTCTTCAGACTCACAAAACACATGCAATGACGCCAAAAGCAGAATGATCACAAGTCAGTGGGTAGAAAGTCTTTGAGTCCAGTGGTGGTGTAAGTAGCTCAGTGCCAGCAGGGGTTTCTCTGTGGCTTCTCCGGCTTCAGAGGTCTGGTTGCATCCACGTGTCTTGTCTTCTGCGATGTGTCCCAGGAAGTGGCAGAGAGAGAGAGAGGTGTTTTCCACGTCCAAGAAGGAAGTACCAGATTTCCCAGAATTCTCAGGAGAAGGCCATGCCCACACAGAAGTCTCATTAGCTAGCTCCAGACTGACAGCCTAGACTCCACCCCTACACTGCTAATCCTTAAATTGACACCAGATTAGGTGACTACCACTCTAGAGGTTTTCATATAAGCATAGAGGGCCTGGGAGATGTGGAAAACATAATTTAAAGTAAAGCTTTTATTAAGTGGCACAAAAAGTAAACTACATAGGATAAGCAATAAAACAAAGTTTTTATTTCTCAGCAGGAACCACAAAGGTAAGAAGGTAAAAGGATAACATATATACCACTTTGGGAAAAAAATTGTCAACCAAGAATCATATACCCAGATAAACCCAGGACAGATAACCCCCTCAGGATCAATATTGAGAGTAGCCATACCAGGAGGGTAAGAGGAAGGTAAGGGGAGAAAGGGGGAACCAATCACAATGTTCTGTATATAACCCCCTCCCCGGAGGATGGACAACAGAAAAGTGGGTGAAGAGAGACATCAGTCAGTGTAAGACATGAAAACAATTTATTTATGAATTATCAAGGGTTCATGATGAAGGGACGTCGGGGAGGGAGGGGAAAATTGAGAAACTGATACCAAGGGCTCAAGTAGAAAGAAAATGTTTTCAAAATGATGATAACAAATGTACAAATGCGCTTGGCACAATGGATGGATGGATGGATTGTGAGAAGAATTGTACGAGCCTCCAATAAAATGATTTTTTTAATCTAATGAGAGCATTAAAAAAAGAAAATAATAATAATCTATAATTTATCAAGAGGTCACAAGTGGGGAAGGAGG